TACAGTTTGTCTTAAACCTAGCAAGAAAGCTTTCGAATCTTTTTTTATAGCTAAATCAGAATTTATCAAACGATACCAACCTTTGGCAGCAGCAAAGGACACACAGATGTTCTTTTTACGCAAGTCTTCGTGGATCTGAAATAATTCATAGATGAGGTATTCATCGGAAGAGGAGCATATCCAAGGTTGCTGTAGAAATTTTTACAGTTTCAATGGAGTACCTACAATTAGGCTACAGAGGAATATTGAGGGACTGAAAATCTGTACCCTATGCGCTTATACAGGGAATGTCACTAAACTGGAATTGGAACTACAAAAGCTGCTAGTCTACTGTCAATACAAAACTTTCCAAGCTGTATGTAGTTGTATAGAGACCTAAAAGAGCTATTATACTTTACAGCCTCTTTTCTATTTCTTCAAATCCTCTCATTTTCCTTTTATTTTTTCAATTGATCTCACTTCCCTTAGTTGCGCCAACTTTCTGTCTTCTATAAGTTGTCAGGTCTGCGTGAACCCTTCTGACCTCACTCATTTCGACTCACGCGCATGATAGGGAGACCATTTCCCTAGAAAAAACTCATCCCTGGTCACCACATGTTGTTTGTACTTTTTGATCCCTCCATATTCGCAGTTCTCTGTCTCTCTGCGCTCTGACCTTTCGCGCAAGGACCCCCACCAAAAGTTCTAGTTGGCGCGTGACCCGTCAGACTGTCATCTTTCTATATTGAGTAGCGGTACTCCCATATATTTTCTTTAACATATTTTCTGCGTTTGCTCATAAAAACTGATGGTATCGAATTTCTCACCTCTTTGAGGATATTCACTCCCATGATGTCCACGTAGGCAAATCCAGAACAATCTATTATGAGGTATTTCTTCTGGTTATCAGAAGACTCACTCACGGTATCCTTCTGAAATTAGAATATTTCAGTGTAAAGAGGGGTATTCACAGATCATAAGGCTGAGAGCTAACGTATTATATAAGAAGTTATTAGAAACAGAAACCACCTCGTTTGGTTCTCCCAGGGTTAAATGTTTCTTGTCAAGTTTTATCATGTAAGTGCAACCAGTTCCGTTCTTTCTACTCTTGCTCAACCGAGAAAAATCACAAATTCTGAAAATCTTTAGAGTGTATGTGTGCTGCGATTCGATTCACCCCTTTTGTTCACGAATGTGGGTCGATTCCGAAAGATAGTGGATAGTGTGGCCACAGACTGGGAAGGAATCAAGTATTGCGGGAAACTTGACAAGAAACATTTAACCCTGGGAGAACCTAACGAGGTGGTTTCT